ATTATTAATTATTATTATTATTATTATTATTATTATTATTATTATTATTATTATTATTGTTATTATTATTATTATTACATTTTTTTTTGTTTAGTTTAGTAACAAAAGCCTGGGGATATTTTCTTTGGGGTGGCAACATGTACATAACGAGCTCTGGACCAGAAAGTAGCCCCAGAATTAGCTTTTCAGAAAACTCTGGTTCATGGTATAACCTCAAGTCCAAGGTCAGTGGTACCCGGGTAAAAATATACGTCAACGACAAATTAGTCAAGGAAATCACGATGTCAGGGAATGGTGCAGACTCCAAGAACAACAATTACGTGGGACTGTGGTGCCATAACAAAATTCCTGCAAAGGGTGACAGTTTTAAAGGTAAAAAAACGGGACGGAAGTAGTTTTTCTTTAATAATTGCTTCTCCCGGTTAACTTTCTACTTATTGCAGTGAAGATGAATTTTAACATTTTTAAGGAAAAAATGTAGTAGTATTTGCGTAGAATAGGTATTGAAATACAGTAACACACTACATTGTCAAAATAATTAGACACAGCGTTGCTCCGTACGACTCACACTATTAACAGGCGAAATTGTTAATTTAAATTAACATTTCTGCTACGTTTGCCTATGAGTAAACACTGCAATGCCTTGCACTGTACTAGAACCTGAATCTTCTGTTTTAGTTTCCCTACAAAAATGTCCCGCCCTTACTGTCAGTCGACTCGTCAAAGCATCACCAAGCAACTGTGTTACGTCACAGATGGAAATTAATACAACATGCTCGTTCTCATGCCCACATGGCTACCAACTAAAAGGTCCGTCTTACAAGAAGTGCGAGTCAAGTGGTCAGTGGACGGATAATACTACGAATGTTTCTTGCTCAGGTGGATTTGTCATTAAACAAACTGAATGATTGATTGGTCCTAAAAACGGATACTTTGTTTCCAGAGAGTTTAACCAGAGTGTTGTTTTTGTTTTTGTTTAGACGTTGACGAGTGTGTGAAGTCTAACGGTGGCTGCAGTCACAAGTGTGTTAATTCTATGGGAAAATACAACTGTGAATGTCCAGACCCAGAGCTGCAGTTATCACCTGATAATAAAACTTGTTATGGTAATACTTATTGTTTAATTATAATTATTATAGTACGGTTGATATGATATTATTGGGAAAGGAACTTGAACTTCTTCGAGCGGTATACCAGGGGTCAGCGTCTTTGGAAAATTTGCTGGGTTTCCGTCATTCAAATTTTCATGTCATTTTCATGTTTTTCTTGTCTGTCGCAGACACTTTAAGCCGCTGAAGGCGGGCCGTATCCAACGCAGGCTAAAAAAATTTTATTGACAATACTTGCAAAATAAACCTTCGAGCATTTTCGAAGTCGTCGGACTGGCTCATAGACACATACGGTCGTGAGTTTCGTATAGCCGCCGTGCACTGTAGTCATTAGTGTCTAGTCTGTGGTGAAAATAACGTTGTATACATTCCCTCTCGTTTTGTTAAAAACCATAATCACTTTTCAGATGTTGTTTAAATTAGCCCGCCTAAGCGCTAAGATGCCGGAATTTTGAGTACACAGGATTATTTGGTTGATTATCGTATCGCTTTTCCCTGCGAAAAGCACTGTTTGTCTTAATCTCAAGATTGAAATTGTTTTGATGACCATGATTACAACAAAGAGGAAATTGCTAACTCATGACGGTTTCATGCAAAGAACGCTAAGATCCTTACTCTGTCACTTTTATTTCACCATATCGACCGATTATTAACTGAGTGCTCGAGTTTCGTAACTCTAGGGATTTTAGCGAAAGTTCCAGTTGGTTTTAAAATTTTTCTCCACCTTTTACAGTTTTAGTTCTGAACCTAAAGGTATAACGCTTCATACTGTATCAGAATTTTAGAGAGGACGAACAGTGATACCTTCTCCTTGGTTGATTCGTTCGTCTATAGATCCATTCTGATCAAACAGCCCACCGGAAAACTCAGTGCCAGTTTTTTGTTTGTTTGTTTGTTTTTGTTTTCGTTGTTGTTGTTGTTTTTTTTTTTTTACTGAATTACATTACAAAGTTCTATTTGGTACTTTAGCATCAGGTGTTAACGTGCTGTGTAACAGTGAAAACATGACCATTATCGTCCCCAAGTCCCTTCTCCTTGGTATGGACCGTGACCATCTTCGACTCTTGGACACCAGTTGCAAAGCTACACAGACAAGCACCCACTTCTCACTCACAACACCGCTGACTGGCTGTAATACAACAAGCTGGCACACCTCCTCTGCCATCGTCTATTCCAACGCAGTGCTGGAAATTCCTGTGGCAGTAAAAGATGTGGTGACACGTGTTCGTGAAATAGAAATAAAATTTAGCTGTTTTTATTCAAAATATGGTGTGGTGTCATCGATTGGATGGAAGCCAAGGAACAGAAAGCTCGTGTTCAACGATGAAGGAAAAGGAAACTTCACTCTCTCTTTGAATATGTTTCCTGACAAAAGGTTCGTGAGTCCCTAAATAAAGAATGACTTCCCAGTAGCAGTGGTGCTTCGCAAGCTTCTCTTCTTTGAGGTGTCTGTCATATCAGATGACAAGCAGCTGTCAATCAGAGCAGACCGCTGTTATGCAACTCCTACTCAAGATCAGAAAAGTTCCCTGAAGTATGAGTTCATTAAAAGTGGGTATGTTATTTGTATGTTTATTCTTTGATGGTCAAAAAATAATATATAAGCAAGATGTCAAACGCGAAACTACAAACAACTCTAGATCTGCAACAAAAAGTAAACATAAACAAAATGACCAGAATTTTACACGGTTTGGACAAAGGAAAAAAGAAAAAAATTCTTTTGGTTGTATAATCATATAGAGTATATATATTAACTTTTGGCACTTAATATAAAACGTTTATAGTGGATGTTTTTTATAAACTGATCTGTCAGCAGAACTTATGAGCTATTGCTTCTTTTGAATAATCTATTACAAGCTCTAAAATGAACAAAATATTTGCCCTTTTAGTTAGTGCCCAGAGGTTTATCTTGGAAGCGTTCAAATTCATTGCAGATCATCCATTTGTCTTTTTGCACAGTGATTGATGCATGACTTGGTTCTTGTTCTGACTATTGGACGATGCACTACTGCAAAAGAGGAGTTGGTAATACAATTATTGCTGTTTTGTTTCTTTTCTCTCAGATGTCCCAATGACGTAACCTTGAAGTACCTGTCTGCACCTTCTTTCAGTGCCCAGCGGTTTAGCTTGGAAGCGTTCAAGTTCATTGCAGATCATCCCTTTGTTTTTGTTCACTGTCATGTGATTGTTTGTAATGCCACTGACCCCAAATGCGTTAAAGGATGCTCACCAGGCGGAAGAGGAAGACGCGAGGCGAGTACTCACGTGACTGATGTCTACTCTTTGGCTCAGGGCCCAATTCAGATGGTGCTCGAAAAAAGAGCGGAAAAACAGTCAGGTGGCCTTGATATGAGGGGTATGTATACATATAAAGGACCAGTAACTCTTACCGTCTGTATGCAAAACAAATAATTCCTCGAGATGACGGAAACTTTGAACAGATTATCATTTTGCAACTTTGATTTATTCTTATTAAGGTATTTCACCATTGTTCATCAGATCGGACGTCTATGTAAAGCTATAGTAAGAATGGTTTAACTTTAATTAAAATAACGCTTTTTTAAGGTGAATCCCATTTTCTAGAATAAAGGTGAGATCTCAAACTTTAAGATAATTCATGGCTGCCTAAAGAGTGAGCAAGCCCAGTCTAAAATCTTCCCACATGTCCGGTCGCGCGACTCCTGCAACAATGACAACTTTTAATGATAGCCCAGATTAGACCGGAATGCGTTACGAGGTTCGATAAAGCATGTTTCTTTATTTCAGGAGCTTCAATTTAGCAGCTTCGTTAAGCCGGCTTTAAATTATTATTCCCTTCACACACGCTTTTTGAAAATTAAATTTTAACAAGATATGCACTGGGGGACTCGGACATCAAAAATATGAACGTACTTTAATTTGCGAATTCTGCAAGTTCATCTCTGCAAAACTTCAAACAGGGTATTAGTAGACTGACGAAATACCGCTGAAAAAATGTTTCCTGTAACATCCTGCGTCTCGGAAGTGCTGATGGGGCCAACAGGTTGATTCACATAGCACATTCTTGATTATGAATGAATAACTTACACCAACCCGGAAAGTTTTTTTTTTAATGCTTCGGATATTGGTAAACTTTGCCTGAGGCTTCATTTAAAAATAGTAGCTGTGATATTTAGGGCTCTTAACTCCGGAGTTGCCGGAATAAAGTTTGTACCATTTTGTATCTGTTTATTCATTGTGATGTTTCTAAAACTAAGTATCGTCCCATTAGGTTACAATCCTACTGTTTTGATGACCCTGTTTGTGATGTGTGTTGCCGGATTAGCTGGAACAGCCCTGATGCTCTTCAAGAAGTGTCGTGTAACGCGGGCTGCAGGGTATACATTGCTTGCCACTAGTAAGCAATAGTTAGGTAGGCTCCTCACTCTCAACAACCGGACTTGACGAATTTAAACTAACTCGAGCTCTGAAATATTCAGATTGCTGGCCCATAAATTGAGCTTGCCATAATTGGTATTCCTGATCTTAAAGTCTTACACATAAAGCATAGATTACATAGATAGTATTCTTTCGGTAAAATAGAGTTGAACCCTTCGGCGTACTTTTTGACAAAACTTGCTCAGTAACACCATGAAAGAAAAAGTCGTCAAAAAGGCCGTATGTCAGGCACTATTTTTTATCTTTGAATGAAAGCAAAACTGTGACAAAGGCAACCCAAACTTTTTGCACTTTTATGAAGTCTAAAACGTGGGCGATTTCAAATTTCAATCTCTTCCTGATAAACTTGAATCGGAATTAAAAGCCAAATCTTCTGGCCCCTGACTTGTTCGAAAAAGATAGATTATCTTAACCTCAAGATAGTACAGGCTATGTTTAAATAGGTAGGTAAATTTTAAACTGAGGTAGTAGAAGAAAGCCCGGTTTTCACTAACAAAAAACTTAGGTTTTCAAATCAGTTGTTCAATTACGAATATCCTGAGCTCGAGTTTACTGCAGATTGATGGATTTTGAGAGCTTCTCAAGAAATACTAAAATAAAGCATTCTACTGTCATGGTTGCTGAAGTATGAAGTGGTTAGATGTTTATTTTAGTTTTCATTTTAAGCTGCTAACACTATCATCTTATGTTACCGGACAGTCACTTTACGATCTCGCCGTAAGTATTAATTATAGAAAGCGAAAAATATAAAAATCACAAAATAGTTTAGGGATAAATTCAAATCAAGTAAAAAGCACAGATGGAAAGGATGTAATAGCAATTGAAAATGACGCGGTTGGACAGATCTGTTATTTGGAAGAACACTTCTAAATTAAAGGCGCACTAAGTTAAACATGCGAAGAGAAAAATAATCTGATGCTTCGTGCTCATGCCAGATGCATTCTTTTATATTATTGTTGTTAGCTTCTTTAGTGTTGAAAGTGGTGTTGGGAATTTGAAAAAACATTGAGATAAAAAAAAAAATAAAGGTATTTATAAAATGTACTTCATTTCAGTGTCAATGTATTTAGCACTAAAGTACTAATGTTATTGAGGACACTATTTTTACTTCTTCATTACTGGAGACGGAACAGTCATTTTACGTGGTAATTTGAGCCATGCAAAGGTCTAGCCGCTTGCAGTGCACTTTCTCAGTTGCTTCATTTCTCAGATCCTGAGTATTGGAGCTGCCCAGGGAATCGAACCGCCCGCTCTGCAGTCAATCAGACAAAGCTAATCCTGCCTGCCGATGATGACATCGAGTTGAAGCCCTTTGGGAGCCAGCAGTCGTTCCATACGAAGAAGAACCTCATGCTCGAACCAAGAACTGTTCCGCATCTCATTAGACTAGAGACAGACAAAAGCATTCGTCATAGTGATACACATAGACATACTTTATTTAAACACGGTTAAAACGTCAGTATAAAAAGATAATTAAAATATAAAGTACTGGTTTACGTGTTTGCCGAGTGGGTGCCCGTTGATCAACACAAGTCATTAATTCTCTTTCTAAACCTTACAAAGGTTAAAGGCTTACGTAGTTCGGATGTCAGTCGATTCCAAAGGACAGCCCCTGAATACCTCACCAGGCTGAAAAACAAATTTAAAAAAAAAGGCGATAGATATACTTTTATTAAAATTCTACGTACTTACTTGAACAAGTTGAACTTCTAAGACTTTGTTCACTCTTTTGCTCAATATTTGTACAACGCTAGAGATTGATTACTGTGAACAGCTCTACTTGTTCGTGACCTTCTACCAAGACCACCAGGAGTCTGTTTCGCAGCTGGCATTTCTTTCCTTCGCTCTCCATGCATGCTCGGGTGAGGTTGTACTCGACTAATATTTTGGTATAGGTGAGACGCTGACGGTTTGAGACCCAGACCCTGACAAAGAAAAAAAATCCTAAAATACATAACATGTTTCGGACAAAACCATCGAATCTATAACCCATGGCCAGTTTAGGACAAAGGACACGTATACTGTTTAAGACAGACTTGCACGAAAATGTATACCCTCTTTAGGACAGACTCACCCAAAATTAAATACCCTGTTTGGGACAGAGAGGTAAATAACCATTAAGAGGCAGTCTCCCTAAAAGCAGTCCACTCGATTTCGCGACAAAAAATACTTTTGCTTTATTTTTTGTCGGTGAAGAGGCTTTAGTAGGTGTATACTAAAATCGCTATTTTTGTTTTCAAATTCTTATTCTTAGCTCTGCTACAAGCCAAAAACGAATTGAGTCCGTCTCGGCTTCTCAGAGAGTGTTTCGAAGACTAAAATTGATGGATTTTGAAAAGCGCGTTGCAAACAATCGAATGCCCGCACAAAAAATCTGTTCGATTCAGTTTTTTTAGTTAACCTTCGATAGTTCACAGGCTAAATAAAAATATCTTTGATCAAAACGTGTTCAAGTTACAGTGGTTCAAAGAATACCTATTTTGCAGGCTTGATCGAAACCTTGAAAGTAAGGAAGATTTGAGGCAAAATATCTCAAAAGTTGCGGCCTAAATCTGGTTCAAAAATCATATCAAAGTAAAGTTTTAAGCTTATTTTTTTGGTTTATAGGCTCAGACTTGCGGGTATCTTCTGGGATTGCAACCAACAGTAGATTATAATCTGCCATTTTGCGTATTTGCATAACTACAGGCCGTGTCAGATGTCATGATTGTACAGGTTAAAAGTTCCATAAAATTGCCTCTTTTGACACTTGAATTCGTCTCCGGCCTCTAAAAAAAAGTAATTAAGCTTCTTTAAGTACTTTTGAATCGAATGAGATATACTAACAGGGATGGTCATGCATGTTACTGATTACCACGATCAACTGGCGGGCGCCATCGTCTTGTAACTACCTGCACTGAACAGTAAACAATGTTTTTAATAGAATTCTCTAGATCAGAAGTTGATCCAAGCTCTCTAAGGAATAAAAATAAAT